GAATTCTTCAGATTAATCCCTACTTAACCAAGACTAACTCCACTTGATCTGGTGACTGTAATGAGTCTCCTTTGCATATTCTAAGATATGCACCAGTAGTATTTCTAGAAAGAGAAGGGAGAAAGCGAGGCAACGCAAGGGGCGCGAAGTATATTGTTGAGGTGTGAAGAGAATTTTCCTCGTGAATTGTTTGGGTAAACGTTGAATTGTCTTCAATAGCGTTGAGCCTACCAACATGCTTATTTCTGGACTCTAATTCTTGAGGGATGGTCGTTTTGTCGGGTTGTATAGGGGGTTTGTCTCAGAGGTATTGGTGATCCTATCCATTGGATACGTCAGATCAATACGAACATGAGTAGTGGAAATTTTGTGAACTAACTATACGTGTGAGGGATTGAAAGAAAAACAAAATGCCAATTTTCTTTAAATTATTTTTTTTTCTATGCAACTCGCTAACTTGCATGTAGTGTAGAGCTTGGCTCAGTTACGCCAGCAATAAATCCCCTACACGCACCACCACCCCCCAAAACCATGTTGTCCGTCCTCCAAACACTGTTCGCTTGTTGGATTTTTCCAACGGCTACGAGAGAACCTTTGCTGTTAGCTCCTTAATTCGAAACCTCCATATACATTCGCTAGCAATATGGGCCAAAAGGCTTCTACTCCTCAAAAGGGAACAAAACTCCAAGTCATAGGGGCCGGTCTCTCTCGGACAGGAACGGCTTCCTTTAGCAGCGCTCTAAACATCCTTCTTCAAGGCCCGGTCTACCATGGCGGAACCCAAGTGACGATGGGACCACCATCTGAAATAAAGTCATGGATCAGCATCATGCAGAACTGTCTAACTGGGGCACCACAGGACCGGGAGGAAGCATTGACCCTTTTAGAGGAGACATTAGACGGATACGCTGCCATCACCGATGCTCCTGGCACGCAACTTGTCCCGGAACTTCTAGAGCTGTACCCTGATGCCATGGTCATCTGTACTGTTCGAGATCCGGACGCCTGGGTGAAAAGCTATGCGCAAGTCCGCCACTTGGCAACGTTGTGGTACCTTTCGGCAGTCCTCCTACCGCTTCCTGGGATGAGGTATTTCGTCAAGTGGATTTCCTACTTTCCAAAGCAGCAACGTCGGGTGTATGGGAAATTAGAATCAACCGTGGATATTTACCACCGTCATATTGCTTGGTTAAAGGAGGTTGTGCCTGAGGATCGTCTGGTATTCTTTGATGTGAGGGAGGGCTGGGAACCGCTGTGTAAGGCACTTGGCAAGGATGTGCCGAAGGACATCGCATTTCCGCGCATCAATGATGGCCAAGCCATAGATGCGGTAGCGAAATACCATATTAGGCGTGGCCTTACTCGGTGGGCCGCTTTCGTCGCGGTGATTGGTGCTATAACTACCTGGTCTGTTCTGCGTTGATCTAGTACTTAGAATCTTGGACTAGCGGTGACCCTTAGATTGATCGTTGTTCTGTGGCTTTTCTAGTTACCTTTGAAGCGTTACGTGGCAGGTATTCCACTTTTCAGATGGGGAGTTTATGGCTAGGTGTGTGGTCTGTCTCAATCTACTGGGAGCTTTTCTCATAACGTACTCTGGCATATAGTTATCTATTTATACTCATGTGATCTTGAATACAGCGGTTTGCTAGAGACGAGAGCTACCGCTGGTAGGGGAACCTTATAGCTCCACTTAGAAGGGACTTAGCGTAGCTACCTCTAATGTATATAAAGGCCATAGCTATCCCCCAGACCTACGAAGGGTCGGCAACTCTCTACCTCTCATAGCATACCGCTACTTGCAATCTCACTCATCTAAAATCATTGTACTTTCTGCCTAGTCTGCAGGCGTTTGAAATATTCACGTGATGTAGTACTGAAATCAGCGCCAGAGCAAACCATTTGAACTCAAATCTAAACCTTGGGAGAACAGTTACGAAGATTCATCCCCTGCTTTCTGACCTATATTCTGACCGGTTATCTCCGTCGATCTGTCACGGGAGATGTCTTTTGTCTTGAAATGAGATGACATGGCTTGTTGGTCCATATTTAAACAAGAGTATTAAATATGATGCATACGTGCCCGCTCAGGCTTGAAAGTTTTCTACAGCCCAGATAAGACATTCACGTATATCAGAACAACCTGTCCGCATACGTCTTGGCAGTCTGTTCTTGAAAGTGAATATTTTGTCTCGGGAATAACTTCCGTTTGGCCCTAAGTATGCCCTTTAAGAACCACTACAGTAAAAGTTAAACCACCGTTATAAGCAATCCAAACTTAGATGTCTGAAATAGATTACCATATAAAACCCCCTTAAAGCCCCCATACAGGGGAAATTTCATAGATCTATCTAATTCCTTTTTACAATTTTCCTTAAAAGGGAGTAGAGTGGAGCCTTTTAACCAATTATAGCTGTCTATTAGGTCAGCAGACCCACCCGCCATTCAACGTGTCTGGTCTGCTAACCTAAAAGATGGCTATATATATATTTCTTCACCACACTTTAATTTTCTGTATTTGAAATACCACTGTCTCTAATGCGTTACTATTGCCTATCGAACGACGGTGGTGTGGGGGATGTCTGGAATATGGAATGTAGATCATTTGGTCCAGAACAGTGGGTTGAGGATAGTCTTCCGTGGATAGCTGAAGCTTGCAGGAAGCATTTCCTAAATTGCTTTCACAAGAATTACGAAAGTTATTTGCAGTCCACCAAAGCCCTAAGCTCGAAGACCCTTTCAACCCTAACACGCCGAAATTATGCAACCTTCCTCACCACTAGCCCCGTCTGGGATGCTCGCGCGAGAATTGTCAAGATCGTCCCCACTGCACAATTGAAGCCGGCTAAAAGCTGCAGATAGTGTGGATTCTGCCCGTGCCCCACAGACAAAAGAGCGCCCCCAATGGGATTGATGAAGAGAGCGGCAATCGACTGGACGCAGTAAAGGACGGTCAAATTAGGAATGATGTGCTGCGGGTGTGAGATCTTGAAAATCATGGACGGACCCAGAGAAACTGCGCAGCCCGAGCTGAATCCGTAGATCACGGAAAAGGCAATAGATGTGGAAACTCCAGTTCCAGGAAGCCACAACCCAAATATAAATGCCGTAGACAGAACGCCGAATAAGGCCATCGTGTTAAATCGCCCTATCCGATCAGCCATAAGACCTGGAACAATTCGGCCAACGATGCTGGCGTGCCGATCGACTCATTAGTGCGTCTGGGGAGTAAGATCTTTCTCATCGGGGTTGGCTTTCTTACCTGGCCGCATTTAGACACACGATGGCACCAACCTGGTCGTCCCACCCGCGGAGCCTGGCGACTGGGACGACGAAGCCGGACACCAGGAAATATGTGCTACAGAGAAACGAGATTCCACTAATAGTTAATAGTAAATTGCGGTCCCTCAAAATCGTGGACCAGCGGCGATTATTCTGAGATGCGCTAGATGGTTGTGGCTGTGGTATAGGGTTGGCAGGTGGGGATTTGATACACATGGTCGTGATGGTCAAGAGGAGGAAAATGATCAGCACGACACATCGCATGGTCCAGCCAAAACCGATCTTCGGCAGGAGATACTTGATCATCAATGGAAAGATCACACCTCCAATACTCGTACCACAGGCAGAAATAGCGGTAACTAGTGATTGTCGACCCCGAAACCATCGGTTTAATATCTGGACATCTGATACGTTGGGTGGAAGAGGAATCAGTTCACATTCTTACAAAGGCATCCTGCTTGCAATGAATGGATGAATGACTGCACTCACTAACGAAAAACACCGCACTGACCCCCAGGGGGCTGAGAATGCCTTGCAACAGAATGATTTGGTATAACCTAGAAGAGAAGGAAGTACCGAGAAGGCCTGCAACATGCAATGTCGATCCAACTACAATGACTGGCATAGGACCTAAGCGTATTGTAAGAGGCCCCACAAGACAAGCCTACCAGAAAAGTTTAGTTAGGTTCAGGCGATTGATTCAAGTAGGATTTGGAGTCTTACTCCGAAATACATAAGGAAAAACCCTAAACTATTGATCCACGCAATGATCGTCGGCGAGTAGGCCTTCAGCTGGTTCCGTTGGTAATAGTCCTGGAAGAGTCCGATCCCTTGAGGAGTGTTAGGTTTAGATTGGAATAAGAAGGAGAGATTAATCACCAGAACACCAGCCGAAGGACGCAAACAACCCACAGAATGAGCCAAATATCACCATATAATGAGCAAAACTCCAGCAAGCCCTGCCTGTGTCTGAGCTATGGTCCGCTGGCGAAAGTGAGGAGGTGGCTTCCTTGGCCTTTCCATCCTGACTTTCATCTTGAGATCTTGAGTGACATGTAGATGCCTCAATAACCGTAGATGACTGGCAGTCAGGGGCGTACTGTGAACTCATCATATTTCCAAGATTGAAGGGCGCGAAAGTGGAGAGACCCCGAGCATTCATGCGGGCTGCAGGTCGCCAGGGCAGATCTAACAGTCCTGAGCTTCAGTTCCTGGCGACAGAGAGAAAGACAAGAAGCATACACTCGACAACCATCTAATTATCGAGTGATCAGTACTGCTGTCTATAAATGGGGGAAGAATTGGATATCCTGAGTACTTGTTAGTAATTCAGCGGTGGCGTCAATAGTTCAATGCGAAGCGCCTTCGCCAAGGGATATCATCTGTTTGTCTCTGTGAAGGAAGATAGAGAAGTAAGGAGTCCTATAGGTTAGGCATAATGTAGAATCGTAGAGAGAACAATAGTAACAATACAATACTACCCAATTGTCAAGAGGTCACTCTAACCTCTCTGCACCTCACCGCTAGTCAGTTGTTCAATATGTGGATCTACTGGCAAGAAATACTCCTTTTCGCTGGGGAAGGTTCAAAAGGCATGGGGAACCTGCGGCTTTGTATCCCAAAAAGAAAATTATCAGTTAGCCAATATACTTTCAAAATCAATGCTCCTGATCATCACCTCCTAGTGGCCTTTATTTTCATTCGCAAGAGTTCTTCTGATGGAGCCCATTGCGATAGTTGGTACAGGGTTCCGATTCCCTGGATCATGCTCGACTCCTTCTCGCCTCTGGGATCTTCTACATGAGCCTCGAGATGTTGCAAATAAAGTACCCAAAGACCGGTTTAATATTGACTCTTTCTATCACCCAATCAGTTCCCACAATGGCACTACAAATGTCACCGAATCATACTTTCTCACGGAGGATGTGAAAGGTTTTGATGCATCTTTTTTCAACATCTCCGCCAGCGAAGCCGAATGCATTGACCCGCAACAGAGACTTCTCTTAGAAACAGTTTACGAAGCGCTGGAGGCAGCTGGAATTCGAATCGAGGACCTAAGAGACTCCCCGACTGGGGTCTTCTGTGGTGTTATGTGTGATGACTGGTCGCTCATCCAGGCGCGCGATATCAACTGGCTTCCTCGATATGCTGCCACGGGCACGGCTCGCTCAATTATCCCCAACAGGGTCTCCTTTTTCTTTGACTGGCACGGTCCATCCATAGCGATTGATACTGCGTGCTCATCTAGTCTCGTTGCTGTCGATCTTGCCGCAAAGGCTCTCCGTAACAATGATTGCCGCGTGGCTGTTGCCTGTGGGACCAACCTCATACTGGCGCCCAACATGTATGTCTCCGAGGCGAATTTGAATATGCTTTCACCTCTGGGTCGGGGTCGCATGTGGGATGCAGATGCAGACGGCTATGCAAGAGGGGAGGGAATTGCTACCGTTGTTCTAAAGAAACTCAGCGATGCCGTAGCAGATGGAGACCCGATCGACTGTATCATCAGAGCCACGCAAGTCAATCAAGATGGCCGCACTATGGGGATCACAATGCCTTCGGGCACTGCCCAGGCGGCCTTGATCCGCTCCACATATAGTAAGGCGGGCTTGGATCCAATTAGTCGGCCTTTGGATCGATGCCAATACTTTGAAGCCCATGGGACTGGAACGGCGGCGGGTGATCCCCAGGAGGCCTCGGCGATATACAGGGCGTTTTTCACCAGCGAAAACGGCCATACTAAGAGCTCGGCAGCAGACGACCTAAATCCACTTTACGTGGGGTCAGTGAAGACACTCATCGGCCATACTGAAGGAACTGCGGGCTTGGCAGGCCTAATCAAAGCATCGCTGTGTCTCCAACACGGTGTCATCACGCCCAACTTACATTTTCAACAAGTGAACCCGGATATTGAGCCATTCTATGGCCGGCTCCGCATCCCAACCCAGGTAAAACCGTGGCCTGTACTGCCAGAGGGAGTCCCACGTCGAGCCTCTGTCAACTCGTTCGGGTTTGGAGGCACCAACACTCATGTAATCCTGGAATCGTACACTCAGGACTCCAATAACGTGAGTGATACTTCGAGTGGCATAGGGATGGTCCCATTTGTATTTTCTGGACATTCAGAAAAGGCATTGCAGAATATTCTAGCTGCATTTATCGAATTCATCAACCACCAACCTCAGGTGGACGCGATTAACCTGGCGTGGACATTGTTCCGTAGACGTTCAGTGTTCGCCCGACGGCTGGCTTTTACAGCCTCATCCCTAAGCGCCTTACGTACCAAGCTGCAAGAAGAGCTTGTTCATAGGAACTCTGCCGGCTTCGTTCCTGATCTTCCTCGCCCGCTCGCCACGCCGGCTCAAATCCTGGGGGTCTTCACGGGCCAGGGTGCACAATGGGCACAGATGGGTGCAGATCTGCTCACACGGTCTCCAAGTATCCAAGGCTGGCTTGGCTTTTTGCAGGAGTCTTTAAACAGTCTGCCAATAGAATACCGGCCTTCTTACTCGCTCCTGGAAGAGCTGTCGGCACCGGAGGGTACCTCGCGGCTGCACGAAGCAGCTATCGCGCAACCCCTATGCACTGCTGTGCAAATCATACTTGTCAAGCTCCTACGCTCACTTGGCATTACGTTCTCAGCGGTGGTGGGTCATTCTTCTGGTGAAATCGCGGCGGCTTACGCAGCCGGTGTTGTGACTGAATCAGATGCTATTCGTATCGCTCATCTTCGGGGTTTTGTCGCATTTCTGGCGGGCAATAATGGAAAAGAAGGGAGAATGCTAGCTGCGGGGATGAATGCTGATGAGGCGCAAGCCTTTTGCCAACTGCCTGAGTGGGTTGGGCGGGTCAAGGTCGCTGCGGTGAACTCGCCGTCAAGTGTGACATTGTCTGGGGACGCGGATGCCATTGAACAGATAGAAATGCGTCTAAAGGAGCAGAAGCAATTCGCACGCATGCTCAAGGTTAAGACTGCGTACCACTCGCATCACATGCTCCCATGCTCGGAACCGTACATGGAGGCTCTTAAGAGATGTCAGATACATCCACAGGCCTGTAATTCTATAGCCTGGTTTTCCAGCGTCTATGATGGCGAGCAGATACGAAATAGCCATCTAGATCTTATGTGGGCTGGCTATTGGCGCGACAATATGGCTAATGCTGTTTTGTTCACACAGGCTGTCACAGCGGCCATGCAGACGATGACTCCAGATATGGTGATCGAGGTAGGCCCTCATCCTACCCTGAAGGGTCCTTTTCTACAGACCATTTCAGGTCTATCTAGTAAAGCGCCGGAGCCAAGCTACGTTGGTCTGCTCAGCCGTTTCACCTCCGGTATAGAAACCTTTTCGGCGGCAGTCGGGGAGCTATACCGCATAGTCGGCCCAGACAAGCTAGACCTGGAGTCACACATTCGGCATTTTGAGAGTAGGGAGACTTTCGCCGTCGTTAAAGATCTTCCACCTTACCCGTTTGACCGGACTCAAAAGTACTGGGCCGAGTCACGGTATTCCAAGGCACTTACCCACCATGCGGGAAGAGCAAACCCTCTACTGGGCACCCTGACTCCAAACAGTACCAACAACAAATACGTTTGGTGCAATATCCTCCATCCACGAGACATGGCGTGGCTTAATGGCCATATGATTCAATCTCAGGCAGTTTTCCCGGCCACAGGGTATGCGGCAATGGCAATTGAGGCCGTGCATATCATTGCAGAGGACAGGAGCATCCGGCTGCTGGAGTTACACGATCTTCACATCCAGACGGCGATAGCATTTGGTGATGATAATAGTCCCGGTGTCGAGGTATTGTTTCATTTGGATCGAAACTCTAAAGAAGAGAATAGACTAGGTGTAAGATTTACCTGCTACGCCAATATTGGGGGCCGCCTCCAAGAATGCGCATCAGGTAATTTAGTCGCCATATTTGGTGAGCAGAGCCCCTGTGTGCTTCCGAAACGATTGCAGAATACCTGTCAAATGGCAGATGTTGACATGGATGCTTTCTACGAACACCTGGGCACACTGGGGCATGGGTATACGGATCTATTTCGTGGTATGCATTCCGTCCGGCGCAAGCAGGGCGCCTCGAGCGGTTGTATCTGGAACCCTTGTCAGCAGGATCCACAGTCTATGCTGATAATACACCCAGCCCTGATGGATACATTGCTACAGGGTCTACTTCCAGCTTCAGGCCTGCCAGAGGATGGCCAGTTACACACGCTGCATGTCCCTACTCGGATTGATCGGATAACCATCAACCCGTATTTCTTTCGCTGCCGTGCTCACGAGTTAAGGCAGGAGCTTCACTTCGACGCGGAAATTACACAGATAGATCCGGACGGTACCTGTGGGGATGTCGCCCTCTATGACCATACTGGAAATGGGATTCTACATGTCGAGTGCTTAGAAACATCTCCGCTGGCTCGTCCCACCGCGGCGGATGATCGCTTACTGTTCTCTACATTAGTTTGGGGCCCATTGCATCCGGATGGCAGGCTGTTGTCATGTGTGGCAACCCACCGGAGTGTGCGTCAATCGGAGCTATCGGAACAGCTATCTCTGTTATACATACAAGATGTACAGGTTCAGCTGACAGCCGAGGACCGCGCCAACCTGAGCCCGCATGGCATTCGGATAGTATCTTGGATCGATCATACCCTATCAATGGTCCGTAACGGGACGCATCCTACCTGTCAAACAAACTGGCTAAACGCGGACCTGACCCAGATTGCCAATGAGCTGACAGAGGTGGCCCTGGAAGTAGACGCAAGCAAGATGCGAACAGTCGGCCAGAACCTGCTACGTGCCTTGAGACGTGAGACATCCATCCTCGAGGAGCTGGGCCAGGCTGGCCTCCTAAGTCGAATGTACAGCGAATCTGATGATTTTGCCCCGTGCAACGAAGCCTATCTCGCGCCGCTTGTACAGCAAATCGCCTTCCGTTTCCCGCGTATGAAGATCCTAGAGATCGGCGCAGGCACTGGGTTGGCCACGAGCGCGATCCTAGATCGAATTGGGTCGTCGTTCCATTCCTACACGTTCACAGATGCCTCCAAAGGTGTCATTGAAGTTGCACAGCAGAAGTATGCTGAGCATGCCGACAAGTTCATCTATCGCGTTCTGGATATTGGTGTCGATCCCACATCCCAGGAATTTGAACCTCACTCGTACGATCTGGTTGTGGCGGCCGGCGTGCTTCACACCACTGCCAATATCCAAGACACTTTAAGGCATGTTCGTTCTCTGCTCAAGCCTGGAGGCTACTTGGCTGTGTTGGAGGGCACTAATCCCAATCTCCTGCGTCTCTCTTTTGTCCACGGCAGCCTCGGTAGATGGTGGCCTAGCGAGCAAGATAAGATCCGACCTTGGGGGCCGATGCTTCCCGTCACGGAATGGGATTCTGTACTAAAACGAACTGGCTTCTCAGGAATAGATACATTCATTAATGATGATGGCAATCGGCTGGCCTGTATGTCAGTGTTCATCTCTCAGGCAGTGGATGACACCATCAGCCTCCTCCGTGATCCGCTTCGGTCTCCTCCACTAGCCCCTACACCAAAGGACCTGATAATCTTAGGCTGCGCGAGTAGCAAGACAACAGAGCTCATCTTAGCCTTGAGAACCCTGGTGGGGCCTTTCTTCCGTCAAACGCTCGTCGTGGAAGGACTAGATGACGTCCAGAGGCACTCATCATGGAGCATGGCTACGGTGCTTAGCCTTCTGGAACTGGACCAACCCAGCCTCTGCTCTAGTCTCCGGAAGCAAGACTTGGAATCTTTACAGACAGTATTAAACGCTGCCCAGAATCTCCTCTGGGTTAATGCAGGCTCCTTGACAGACAACCCGGCCCAGACTCTGTCGCAGGGATTCCTACGCTGCTTACGCTACGAGAACACTTATGCACGTGTCCAGCATCTGAATGTCGCTGATCAAGCATGTGTTTCATCACAACTAATCGCTGAGACATTGCTGCGCTTGGTGTTGCCCACATTTGAAAACCAATACGACTTGCCAGTCGCTGTCTGGACGACGGAGCCAGAGTTGCGCTGGAACGGCAGCACGATGGAATGTGCGCGGATCATCGACGATGTCGGGATGAACGAACGATACATGTCCAAAAGGCGCAACATCGATCACTTTGTCAACCTGGAGAGTTCCAACTGTGAGGTAATTTTGACGAAAGGGAGCTACAATATTGTCGAGTGCTCCCAACATCTTCGCGAATCCACAAACGAAACATACACCAAGATCAAAGTCAGCTGGTCTACCTTGTGGGCATTACGAATAGATGAGGCTGGATTTCTATATTTGGTCATCGGTCAGGAAAGTGACACTGCTGTCCCGGTCATTGCACTGTCTCGCAGCCTCGCGTCCACCATCGCCACCCCGGTTAGCTGGACTCTCCGATACGGCCAGCCCCCTGGAGCAGAAGACCAGAGCCTCTTGGGCACTGTCGCGTGGGCCTTGCTGGCAATATCCCTGGTCAGAGCTACTACCCCTGGTACTTGTTTGTTGATACATGGTGCATGTCGAAGTCTCCGAGATGCAGTGAAGCAGCAGGCGTCGGTCAGAGGTATCCAACCCTTGTTCACCACCAGCAGCGATGAAGAGTTATCAGACGACGTCATCTTCATCCACCCCTCGATCACATACCGGAGACTGACATGTCAGCTTCGTGGGAACATTTCCCTCATTATCCAATTAGACAGACAGGCTGGCTCGATATCCCGCCACCTCCGCTCTCTTTTCCCCAATGCTATAATTCAGGACATAACCAATCTCTGTCACACCTCCCCTGTACTTCATCCCAAATACGAGGTCGAATTGGTTAGCCACGACCTCAACCGTGCTTATAGCATGGCCTGTCAGCTTGCGGGGAAGAGCATCGATGCCAATAGCCTGAGTCTTCCCGCTCTCCAGGGCATTCAACCAAAAATAGAAGGATTGAGCCTGTTGAACTGGCGGGAGGTTGGTGATGTGTCCGTGCGTACACAATCAGCCAGCTCCGATATCTATCTAAGCCCAAACAAAACATACCTGCTGATTGGAATGGCTGGCGATCTTGGGAGATCGGTATGTGAGTGGATGGTTTCCCGAGGGGCACGCCATATAGTTCTGGCGAGTCGCCGGCCACAAATCGAACAGCACTGGTTTGACGCAATGTCCAACGCTGGTGCAAGTGTGGTCACGATGGCAATGTGAGTTAACGTTCCAGTGTACCCTGAATCGCGTGTATATCTGACTCGACCATAGGGATGTTACTGACCGAGAGTCGATTCTCGCTGTTGACGCCCAGCTCCGCGTCAAATTCCCGCCACTAGGTGGTGTGGTCAACGGAGCAATGATACTTAAGGATCAGATGTTCGCTACCATGTCCTGGGAAGTTTTGCAGCAGACGCTCATGCCCAAAGTTCAGGGGAGTTTGCTGCTGGATGAGATTTTTGGCAGTGTGCCTCTTGACTTTTTCATCATGTTTGGATCCCTCACATCTCAGTTAGGCAATATCGGCCAATCAGCATACGCAGCTGCCAATGGCTTTATGGCCAGCATTGTGAAGAGACGGAGGGATCGAGGCCAGGTGGGAAGTATCATCAGCCCCGGCTCAATCCAAGGGGTCGGGTATTTGTCCCGGGCACAGTCTTGGGTGATGCAGTCGCTCCGCGAAACCATGGGCAGCGCTACTCTTTCCGCAGGAGATATCCATGAGCTGTTCGCGGAAGCCATTCTAGCGGGGCCTCCGGATGCTGGCAAGCCTGCGGACATTATTGCAGGTTTGTCGTACGTATCACCACCGACGCAACCGGGTATCATATGGATTAATGATCCGAAAGCCTGGCACCATGTCAACCATTTCAATCAAAGAACTACAGGCAACCTGGAAATGACAACAGACAGAATTGACATTAAGACACAATTAGAGACAGTTACTTCCAAGGAAGAGGCCATAAAACTTATTGAACCTGCTTTTGTGGCCAAAGTGCGCCACAAGTTGCAGCTTCCTGACGATGAAATTATCTCCCGCGACTCGATGCTGGTGGAGCTAGGAATCGATTCCTTGGTGGCTGTTGAGCTCCGGACATGGTTCGTTACATATCTCGGTATTGATCTGGCCGTGTTGCAGCTCCTTAACGGCGCGTCTATTGCCCACCTCGTGGAGGAGGTCAGTGGCCGACTAGTGGAAAGGCTGCAGGTTCAGGATGCAGCCTCCTCTGCAGCCGATGTGGACGCTGTCGATGTTCAAAACAGTCCGAGTGACAGCAGTCAGCTTTCAACATCCTTCCCTACCTCGCTAGATTCCTCCGATATAGAAAACTCCCCGACGGGTAGTGTACCCGCTGCCAAGGAGTATGCTGAATTCCCTACAGCGAGCACGCAAAGCTTGTCCGAACCGTTATCGGGTCCTGAATTTGAAAAGACCGAGAGACTGTCGTTTTCACAGGCGCGCTACTGGTTCCTGGATAACTTCATAGAAGACAAAACAACGCATAACGTCGCTATGATTTTTAACCTGGACCAAGCGCCACGGGTGGAAGACTTGAAAACCGCGGTTAATCGTGTGGGGATGAGACATGAGGCGCTACGAACATGTTTCCTATCCGGAATCAACGGGAGTAACGATCCATGCCAGGCCGTGATGTCGACCTCACACTGGCAGCTGGAAGTCCATCACGTTGATAATGCCGACGCAGTCAGAGACGTATATGCGCGAGTCCGTGACCATGTTTATGATCTCTCTCATGGGGACGTCGCACAGATCTGCCTCGTTCTTGCCCCAAATGATATCCAGGTCCTCATTATCGGATATCATCATATCTGCCTCGATGCAGCCAGCGTGTTCATCCTCTTTGAGGAGCTTGAAATGGCCTACCAGCACAAGGCGCTGCCTGCTCTTTCCCTGCAATACCCGGCGTTGGCCGCCGCACAACACACTGCGTTTGAAAGAGGGGAGTATGCCAGAGAGTTAGAATACTGGCGGACGGAGTTCGCTGACCTGCCCGGTCCGATGCCTCTTCTTCCAATGTGTCGCGTACAATCCCGACCAGCTCTCAAGAAATACGCCATAACCACTGCGCGACATAGCCTACCTCCCTCGGTCACTGCCCAGGTCCAAGCCATCTGCCGCAGGAATCGGACTACCCCCTTCAACTTCTACATGGCTGTCCTGTGGATTTTCCTTGCCAGACTTACAGACACGGATGATGTCTGCATCGGGTTTGTGGACGCCGGCCGAGCCGATGCCATTAGCATGCGTACAGTTGGTTTCCTGCTGAATATTTTGCCCATTAGGCTTTCCGTGGACAATGCTTCGCGGCCGTTTCGACACATCCTGGAACTAATGAACGAGAAGACCAGATCGGCGAGGGCCAATTCCAGACTACCGTATGATGCAATGCTGACTGAGCTGGGGGTACCTCGGTCGACAGCATATAACCCGCTTTTCCAGGTCCTGATGGACTGGCAGCCGCAATCCGGCGCCAGCTACATGTTCGACGATATCAAGATTGTGAGGAAGGAATGGGTACCCGGAAGGTCACCGTACGATCTCACGCTGCAATTCGTAGGATCTGAAGACGGATCGACCGTCATTGACTTTCATTTACAAGAAGACCTATTCTCGAGACGGGGAGCAGACATCGTGGCGCAGAGCTATGGTGAACTAGTACAATCGTTTGCAAAGTCAGCCGAAGCCAACGTGATGCAGCCCCCCTTGTATTCACCGCTGGATGTGCAGTCGTCAATTGACCTTGGCAGAGGTCAGTTGCTAGCTTCGCAGTGGCCGTCCACAATTTCCAGACATATCGATGATGTAGCAAGATCCCACCCTGCTCAGATAGCCGTGCAGGATGCGGGCGGTTCTACTGCCCTCACATACAGCCAGCTCATGATCCAAGTGAATGTGATCGCGAGTAAACTCCATGGTATGGGTGTGGGGCCTGGTTCGCACGTGTGCTTGTTCCAGCATCCAACGACGGGGTGGATCAGTTGTATGTTGGCAATTTGGCGGCTAAATGCGACTTATGTGCCCGTGGACTTGCGGAATCCATTACCGCGCCTAGAAACCATCATCCAAGCTTGCCAACCACAGGTCATCATCTGCCACGATGATACGGAAGCTGACGTCCACCGAGTCTCATGCCCTAGCCCAATACACATACTGAATATTTCTGATCTCAATTATGATACGACTACACCCGTACTGGAAAATCAGTCGACACCAGAAGCCTGCTGTGCGATTCTTCATAGCAGTGGCACCACGGGTCAACCAAAGGGGATTCGTCTAAGGCACTCGAGTCTTCGCAACGTGATAGAAGGCGATGTACAGCAATTCAAACTAGGGAGTGAAACCGTTCTACAACAAAGTGCCCTGACATTCGACTTCTCGCTAATTCAGGTGCTTATCGGACTAGCCCAGGGCGGAAGGGTAATTGTAGTCCCTCGCTCGTTGAGAGGGGATCCGGTCGAATTGGCCAAAACCATAGTGGAAGGGAAAGTGACCTATACTGGAGCAACGCCATCTGAGTATGCCACCTGGCTTTCGTATGGGGGGCAGACCTTGAAGAATGCAACAAGCTGGAGGATTGCGTGTGCGGGAGGAGAATTTCTGACGCGATCCCTTGGTTTGGAATTTCAACGTCTCGGGATGCCGGGCCTGCGCCTCTTCAACATCTACGGCCCATCAGAAACTGCTCTAGCTTCCCATAAGACGGAAGTCCAGTATCGCGACTTGGATCCCTTGACATACACAGAAGGTGCATATTCGGTTGGGAATCCACTTCCCAACTACACAACGTACATCGTCGATAAGCAACTGCAGCCAGTGCCACAGGGAGTATCAGGGGAAGTACTGATAGGCGGTGCGGGTGTCGGTTTGGGCTATTTACATATGGAATCATCGACCGAGGAGAAGTTTATCTCTAATATCTATGCCACTCAGGAGGACCTTGATCGGGGCTGGACACATGTGTACCGAACAGCCGATCGCGGCCGTCTGCTTCCCGATGGGGCCCTAGTCATTGAAGGTCGGATAGATGGGGATACCCAAGTGAAGCTGCGTGGAATCCGCATAGATCTGCAGGATATGGAATATGGCATCTTGCAGGCCAGTAGGGGCACTCTCATCCGAGTGGTCGCATCACTCCGGGGCGAGACTGATAATGCGTTCCTTGCAGCTCACGTTGAATTTGATCCAGTTCATTGGGAGAAGCGAGAAAGCCTATTACAGCAGATTCGCGCCAATTTAACGCTTCCGCAATATATGTGGCCTGCTATCATTGTCCCTGTCGAGAAAATTCCACTCAATATCCACGGCAAAGTTGACCGTCATGCAGTGAACGCGCTGCCAATCACTGCCCTTAAGAGGACGGAAGACGACTCTTCTATGACCACCAGTATCACCCATTCAGAACATAAGTTACGACGAGCTTGGGCTAAAGTCCTGCAAGGTGTTGTCGATATCTCTGCGATCGGCCCCAGCACGGACTTTTTCCTCGTGGGCGGGAACTCCCTTTTCCTCATCAAGCTGCAGGCAATCATCGCTCAGGACCTGGGGGTGAGAGTCCCCTTGGCAGAGTTAATGGAAGCGAATCGGCTCAGTGATATGGCAGAGAAGATCGCGCGCTACCAGACTGCGGCCCCGATTGACTGGCAATCAGACACATCAGTCGATGACCTCCAGGGAGATAATTCAACACAAGGGCATCCACCTCGAACTAATGATGATCTAACCGTCGTCCTAACTGGTGCGACAGGTTTCCTAGGGTCACGAATCCTCCAGGGCCTGGTAGCGAGTCCGCACGTGGGCCGCATCCACGCAGTTGCAGTACGCAGCGGACCCGGACACCAGGGTCGAGTTCTCGCGAGCACGTCGTCGAAAGTCACAACCCATCACGGCGACCTAGGAGCTCCTCTTTTGGGTCTGGATCCAGAGATATTTGCATCGCTGGTGAAAGATGCTGACCGCATTGTTCATTGTGGTGCGAACCGGTCGTTCTGGGACGCGTACCCAGTCGTGCGCGCGGAGAACGTTCACAGCACCAAGACGCTTATCCGTCTCGGGCAGCATCGCCAGGTTCCTCTTCATTTCATCTCCAGCGGAGAAGTGGTATCTATCCCTGTGGATGAGACGCCTCCTCTCAATGGGGCAGACGGACATCTGGCTTCAAAGTGGGCTAGCGAGCGACTGCTCACCAACGCTGCGGAGCGCCTCGGACTGCCTGTTTGCATCCATCGTCCTGTTCAGGCAGAGCACATGAACCCTCCGCCGGCTGACCTCGAGAAAGAATTCCAGGACCTTGTCTTCAAGCTAGAAAGTGTCCCTACGACTGGAGGGTTGAGGGGCAGCTTTGCGCTGATGCCCCTGACCGAGATCTCGGACGCACTGGTAGCTGCCGTGGTGGGCAATCAGGAATCAAAAATGGTCATTCAAGAACATGTCGCCGAGGTCATCATCCGCGTGGAGGATGTGAACAACATATCCGCAGCATGCGACCCTGGGGCTATTGAAGGTTTCCCACGGATTCCTGCGACGCACTGGCTTGGGCGCGCTAAGAAGGAAGCAGGATTTACCTGGTGGGTCTCAGGGCAGGATGCTGGCTTGGAAGAAGAAGATACGGAGCTTCTGATCTCCACTCGACGGTGAGGAAGCTTTTTTTGTTCCTTTTAGTACGCGGTGAACTTCGGAGGACGCAACTCTAGAGAGAGAGAGAGAGAGAAAAAAAA